ACGTTATAAAGTTACATGTATTGCAAAATACATAATGATTTGAGGACCAAGTTTGTAGTCAAAGTATGGGCAGGCCATAGTCAATGTAAAGCATATTGTTGACGTTTAGTCCCTATTAGTGAATGTGCCATATAACTTTTTATCCGCTGTTATCGGTGGCCCTGTTTACTAGCCTGCGCGTTCACGACAGGCTCCGCTGTGGAGGACGAGCTGTGGAGGGAGGGCTGTAGCGCAGCAGAGAGCAAGGGGGTGGGACCTGTAAGTTGTACTTGTTCAAATTTTCAGGCTAAGTCAACGTTTTCTCAAAACTCCCTACTGCAGCTTTAAGAGGTTGTTATTTGGGAATAACATACCGCTGGATGGCGCTATTGACCAATCAGAATCAAGTATTCCACAGAGCCGTGTAATAATCCGAGATAACGCCGCACCTTCTCGCCAGGATCGCGAAATGACATTTCTACGGAGGGGGTCACCATATATCCTACGCCACTGATATACGCATTTAAACGCATAGTCGCATGTATATGCCATTTCTTTGTCATTTTAGTGGTGATATGACTTTAATACATAAAATACTTTAATAATAATACTTTTTTGCTGTAATTATTATACTACTTAAATTCTAGTTCTATTATTTGAATGAATGTTTCTTTTGTTTTCTAGCAGCCAAGAGGGCTTGTCGAGCTCTAATGGCAGCGCGGGCATCAGCGTTCCCGCTTTAGGCAGCAGCTCTCGAACCCAAAGCACTTTCACTCCCTCTCTAGCATTGCACTTTGATGAAAGTCTCATCAAGCATGTTCAAGGCTGGCCTGCAGAACATGTGGAGAAGCAGGTGTGAACATGCCTTCGTCTCTTCAACTGTTTATCCATCTTCTACAGATCAAACTTCACTTCTCTAACTAATGAGGTTTCTCTCTCTCTCTCTCTCTCTCTCTCTCTCTCTCTCTCTCTCTCTCTCTCTCTCTCTCTCTCTCTCTCTCTCTCTCTCTCTCTCTCTCTCTCTCTCTCTCTCTCTCTCTCTCTCTCTCTCTCTCTCTCTCTCTCTCTCTCTCTCTCTCACCCAGGCGTCACGGATGCGTGAGGATATCCACAATATGGGAACCCTCTACATGTCAGAGATCTGCACCGAGCTGAAAAACCTTCGCTCTTTAGTGCGAGTATGTGAAATCCAGGCCACATTGAGAGAGCAGAGGTCTGTAACTCTGATTTAGATCAAATTATCGACAATGCGTATCTAAATGGCGTTCGGTGAATTACTTTTTTCTTTGCTTGTGTACAGGATTCTGTTTCTGAGACAGCAGATCAAAGAACTTGACAAACTGAAGAATCAGAATTCCTTCATGGTTTGAGCGGGTGGCAATGGAGCTCATGGCGGTCTCTCTCCGAACAAGCCCCATCCCCTATCCCCCCACCCCCCACCCAAGCCGTTTGGACCCCCGCTCTCAGATCCACAGTCGAACTACAGGCTGCAATGCCTGAAACGGGACCGAGTGATTAGGAAGCTTACAAAAGTACTTGGGCAACACGAAGCCCTGAGATCACAGATTAATTTCACTGTCGTTTTACATTACACGGCTTCTCTATTCTCAGATCCACGGGCAATTCGAGAAGTGTTCAGAGAACACGCTCTCCAACCCAGACTGACCTGTGAGGAATCATGCAGTGGATCTGGCGATTCATGTGCTGGTTTTTCAAGGTTATGCCTGTGTTAGTGTATCCTAAATTTCACTGTCACACCGGAGACTTAACCCCGTCCCCCCCCCTGTCCTCCAGTGACTGACAGTGATCACGAAAGATGTTAGAAGGGCTATCTGTGCACAAGGACGCTTCCAGCTGTGCTGGCATTTATCAAAGTGACCAATTCAAATAAACCCAATATCATTCTGAGTGCCCATTCTCAAAAGTTAGGAGTGACTGGCTGATTCTCTGCCCCTCAGAAGATTAAATAAGACCTGAATGATCTTCCTTAATTCACAGCAGAACAGCGAATGGGTGCTAAAGATTTCTCAACTGGTGATGTGGCACTTAAAAGCTTTTGCCCGAAGCGGCAGACGCACATTTTCTGAGTTTCTGACCCTGATGCAGGGTTTTTTTTTTTGTCACTATCTGCCTTCGATGTTTCTTGTTCTTTGCAGTGCTGTTACACATCTAACTGAGATTTCTATTCATGTTGCACCCCAGCACTGTTTGACTCTTTTTGTATTAATGTTGTTTTGATTTGTTTGTATTTGCTCTTTTTTTTTTTTTTTTTACTCATATAAATGAGTTTAGTCATTCCCATATTGCCCGGTTTTGGGGGATGCAATGAAAAGGACTCCGTATTTTATACATGAGCTATGGTTGCACTTCGAAAATGCATCTTTTAAGGATGAAAGAGGACCAATGGGACTGTCTCGAGCTGACCAGCGGGAGAAGAGTGTGGCGAAGTACAGGATATGATTGCATTTTTCTCATCTTTCACGTAAAAATATCATCCAGTCTTTAAAAAATGAATCTTTAAGCATTTAGTCAACTTGTCGATTTGTATTTGACAAGGATGTGAAAATATGGCAAAACTGGTGATTCCTCTTTGATGTTTGCAATGTCATTCATAGTTTTGCTTCATTGTTCTTTCTGTCTTTACTGCCCTCTAATGCAGGGTTTGAACTTAGACCAATATTAATGCAATAGGCTGTAAATGGACTTTCAGAATAGAGATGATGGGTATGTTGCTTTGTATATGGTTTCTAAAAGCTGCGGGAAATAAACAATTACTACATTGTGTTTTGGTACATGTTTTACTTTTGTGCATTGGCTGCTTTTAATAAAGTTTAGATGCAATCATGCCCTAGCCCAGGTAGAGCTAAAAGAACTCAAAGTACCTTTCAAGGACTTCAAACTCATGCTAGAGGTTTTGTACATGTTCGCCCTCCTGTGGAGCAGAGTTTCTCTTGCATTTGCTAAAAAATTTCAATTACATAAGTGAAGAAAAGTTCACACAGTAATAGCAAAGAGGTGGAATTTACTAGTTTAAAGGTCAATTTTGCTGCTTTAAAAAAAATCCTCTGAGTAGAAAGTAGGTTAACATGAAGCCTGTATTTACAATACATTATATTGGTATTCCTAGTGCATTATAAAACATGCATAATGCCTTATAACAACTTTATAATGTGATGTATAATCTGATAATCTAAACAATATATGTGGTTATAACTTTTAAAAATATAATGTATTTTTAACACCGGTTGAAGCCTGCATTTATAATGCGTCATAAGGGTATTCTTAATGCATTACAATGCATGCTTAATGCCTAATAAACAACCTTATAATGTGGTGACATCTTATGAATAGTCGCAACAACTGTAACCTGTTACCTACTTGTTAGAATTTGGTAAAGCCTTGTCATTTTACAGTTTTTGTGATAAAACATGATTTGCATTGTTATATTTTCCCAAATAACTTAGAATTTTACCTTAAGGGAAATGTCTTATAACCACTTCATGATATCTTATGGCTGTTTAAAAGAAGACTTGACTTTTGTTACTTTACTTAAAGCAGACGAAGACCACTTATAAATATTATGACCACATTATAAAGCATTTCAGTTTTTGTTACTTTACTTCAAGCAGTAAAAGACCACTCATAAGATGTAGATGAAGAATGTGTGCAGATCTTAAGGAAACAATGTGAAGATATGAGACTTGGGAAAGTAAAAGATATGCAACTATTGGATGTATAATCCATTATAACTTACATGGATAAAATTATGTTCATTGTGTGTCATAAATCATCAACTCTTAATAGTTATAACCACAGATAGGTATTATTATGTTGTTACAATTATTCCTGAGATGACAACACATTATAAGGTTGTTTATAAGACATGGGTGCATTATAATCCACTAAGAATGCCCTTATGATGCATAATAAATGCAGGCTTCATCTGGTGTTATAATGCATATAGTCTTAAAAGTTATAACCACAAAAAGGGAAGTATTATAATGTATTGTAACTGTTGTTGTTTATATATCAGATGGTAAAACATAAAGGTTGTTCGTTAGGCATTATGCATGCATTATAATGCATTATAAATAGAGGATTCATAGAAAGCGTTATCGAAAAAGAAAAGTTTTATTGTACTGCACTGAAATTAGCTATTTCACACAACAGATGTTTACAAATAATCCACCTTACAAAATTAGCTGAATAATAAAAAAAAATATTTTCAAAAGTTTACATACTTGATTCTTTATACCATGTGTTTTATATCTTATAGCTATCGTATATCCACACCTGTTTCAATGTTCTGTGATAGTTTTTCATGAATTATTTCTTTGTCCTGAGAAGTTAAACTGTCCACGGTGCTTAAGAAAAATTTCAGCATTTTCTGCATATTTTAACCCTTTCCATCAGTGACTTCCTGATCCATCTTTTCATACTAAAGACACATAATATTAAATTGTTGATTTGACACTGACAATTGTATGAGAACTGAACTTAGCTGGACGGTGACATCACTGTTTTGTCCAGAGCTGCTTTATTACAGCAGAAATGCATCATTGAATCATTATTTTCCTGTTTATTATCTCTGTAAAGCTGCTTTGAAACTCTGTATTGTAAAGCGGTAAATAGCTTGGCTTGAGAGTGATTCATACTATTACAAAATAATATTGTTTATTCCTATATTTTTTCTTACCAGAGTAAGTTGTAGTACTTGTTTTGTCTTCTGGGGATATGGATATGCACGTGCATTTACCATATGAAGCTATATCCTAATAATCGTCAATTTAAACGTGTGCGCATTCAGTCAATTTAAGGGTAAAAAAATAGGGAAGGAGAAAATGTTTTACTATTGGCTATTGGTATTTTTACACACAGGGTAAAACACGTCAAGTCAAGTCATGCTTTCCCTGCAGAAGATGAGGGTTAAGCTGTGTTACCCTTGCATGGGCACACGGGGAGGCAACAGTCCCAAACTCCCGCGTGTAAATGAAACAGCCCAGCGGCTCGATGACTCTTAAAGGAGGAGCTGCCCTCTCATTCCCGAGTCTTCAACATTTAAGGGCACTCAAGCGGAGTATAAACACAAGAGATTATCCGTGCGAATAGTTGTGAAGTCTGACAATTTCGCATCCGAATTGAAACACAAATGGATTATATGGGTTTTTATTTTTAAAAACCAAACAACTGCGCGTCGGCTTTTCTGCGCACAGATGATAGTATCTGGAAGTCCTGAAGAGAGCACCGAGGACAGAACCACGATGTGATCGTTTCTATTTAAAAATGTTACGAAATGCTTTGAACGAAGCGAGTTGGAACACATTTTGGACACCAATACTGTATTTTTTGGCTATAAAGTCCGTATCTATGCGAATCTGAAAGGCAAAGTGTTTTTATCCAATGCAGCGGAACAGCAGTCTCGTTTCCATTTGGCTTCAGCTCGAGCTGTGCGCGATGGCTGTTCTCCTCACTAAAGGTGAGTGACCAGAAGCTCAGTCAGAATAGTCTACACATTGATATATTCACAATTCCTTTTTAAATAGAACGAATTGCATTAGAAATAAATCTAACAAAGCTAAAAGTGATTAAAGACTACAATAAGTATATACCTATGTTATTACATAGTTATTACATTGTAACATGAGCGCTAATGTAATGTTACACTTTATTTTAAGGTGTCATTGTTATAGTGTAATTATATATTTAAGTACTGAGTAATATTAATTTACTAGCTACTACAGAGTTAGGGTATTGGGATTTGGTTAAGGGGTTAGTTGCATGTAATTATGCATTATTTACTGTTATGGTAAGTACATGTCAAGTCAAGTCATCCTCATTCATATAGCGCTTTCAACAATGTAGATTGTTTCAAAGCAGCTTTACAGAGATAAACATATAATTTAAGGTAACAGAGATTGAATTTAACATGTAACATATGTAACAAGGACACTGTAAAATAAAGTGTTACCGTATAATGTGACCAAACGTTTTCTGAACACCTAATTGTTATCATTGTTTTTAAATAGATTTTTTTTCACCGCATTTAGTTTTGCATTACTTTGATGAGCACATATTTGTCAATATTAATACAAAACATTTTATTGTTCTGTCAGAGCAATTATCCAGAGAGTTATCTTTACAAGAACCAAAAGTCTGAAAGCCAAATACCAACCATGGACTTGTACATCAATGTGGGAACTATCTTTGAACAGTTATGAAAATTAGTTCACAACTTTATTTTACAGTGTCCTTGTTACATATGTTACATGTACTCACCATAGTAATAACAGTAAATTATGCATAATTATGCAACTAACCCTCAACCAAATCCTAATCCTACCCTAACCCTATAGTAAGTACATGATATTACTCAGTACTTAAATATATCATTACACTGTAACAATGACACCTCAATATAAAGTGTAACCAAAATGAGTTCTTGTTTTCAGTTGGAGTATCAATACTGTGGGTCATTTCTCATTTGTTGTAACAGGAGAAATACGGTGTTACTGTGATGCTCCCCACTGTGTGGCCACCGGTTACATGTGCAAATCGGAGCTGAATGCCTGCTTCACCCGCACCGTAGACCCTCCGAGCACCAAGTCTCTCTTATCTCACGGGTGTTACGACCCTCTGCTGAACTCTGGGAAAACGTGCCATCCAGAGTCGACCTATGATGCCGTTCATGGATCTGCCACTCTTCAGTGTTGCCACGAGGATATGTGCAACTACAGAGGCCTGCAAGATCTCGCATACAGAGGAAGTGCAATTCATGGTACGAGTCTTCTTTAGTTATTGCTATAGCCAGATAAATCAACCAAATTTTTTATCAGCCATTTTTTATTTTATTTCAGTCATTAACTGTGCCTACTAGGCCAATTAATAGAAGTGTCTATTGAATTGATCTGCCAATTTAGCTACATCTGGGAATTATCTCCAAATGACCATGTCAATGGATAATGCAGTTTTTGTTTTTAGATGTTGTAGGGAATTTTGAGATGTATGTGCAACGTTTCCTTAATAATAATAATAAAAATATTTGTGGAAAATAGAATTTATTACTATTATTATTGCATCTCAGTTGGTAGTTTTGCCACTCTGCTCTCTAATAATATTACTTTGTTCAGCCTTCACCTAAACTGAAGCTGAAATATCAAATTTACCCAAGAAACAACATCTCCTCTGTGCTTGGCTGATGGTTTGTGAAACAGAGTACATTTCGTTTAAAGAGATAGTTCACCCTAAAATGGAAATTTTGTCATCATTTAATCACTCTCATGTTGTTACAAACCTGTATGACTTTAATTATTTTTCTGTCCAATGTTGTTTTGGACCCCATTGACTTTCATTATTTCTGAAGAGCTGTCTTGTCCATACATTCTTCAAAATAACCTCTTCGTGTTCCACACGATTTTTTGGTAACACTTTACAACAAGGTTCACTAGTTAACATTATGTATTAACTAACATGAACTATCAATGAGCAAAACACTTGTTACAGTATTTATTCATCTTTTTTAATGTTAGTTAATAGAAATACAGCTGGTCATTGTTTGTTCATGTTAGTTCACAGTGCATTAACTAATGTCAACAAAAATTATTAAATAACTAAGATTAATAAATGCTGAAAAAATAATCATGTTAACTAAGGTAGTTAACTAATGTTAACTAATGAACCTTATTGTAAAGTGTTACCGTTTTTTTAAAGTTTTTTTTACCGCCTTAAACGTTTTCTGTTCTCATTCAGACAAACACCGACATCAAACTGAAGGCAGCCGTCACGTGATCGCACGTCTGCAGGAAATCCCTTCCTCCAAGGAGGTTTGGTTTCGAGCTGCGGTCATCACCGTACCCATCGCCGGTGGCCTCATCTTGGTCCTCCTCATCATGCTGGCCCTGCGGATGCTTCGCAGCGAAAACCGCAGACTGCGACAGCAGCGGCGAGAAATGCTCTCTCGCCTTCACTACAGCTTTCACGGCCAACACCTCACCAAGGGTCACGTGGCCAAACTGGACTTAGAGTGTATGGTTCCAGTAGGAGGCCATGAGAACTGCTGCTTGACCTGCGACAAGATTCGACAGTCCAACCGTAGCAGCCAGCGACTTCTATCATTGGTCAACTGGGGAAAATACAGCGGCCGAAGCAAACTGGAGTTTGTGTGATGACTTTAGAATCTAGCCTCTTTTTCCTGGGACTTGTTTGACTAAAACTTGTTTTATTTCAACCCTTCTAACGGAGGACCTGCAAACGAGAACTCAGAAGAGAACACTTGAAAGCGATAACCACGCGGTTGTCGCTCTAGAAGCACTTTACTTGAATTAGAGACTTGAGGAGAAGACTGCTTGTATTATAGGCTGCGACGAGGAGTGGCTTCGTGCTGGTATTCTTTATGACCGAAGGATTCCAAGAAATAGATTTTGGTTTTAACGTTTGCACTTTTTGTATAAAGAAACTACGGTTGATTTGCTTTAGTAGTGGTGTAAGACCAGCGTGTCAACATTCTCAGAATAAACTAAAATTTGCCAAAATTGAAGGGGTACAACTGCTTGTAAAAGATCTTGGTATCTTAATTACCCTTAAAATGTTCATAATAGTTGAGGGTACATACTCTTAAGGTACTAATATGCAGTTTTCAGGGGTAGATAAGGTACAAAATTGTCTCTTTAAGTGTACTTCCCCAGTTATAAGCCGTTGTACCCTTAAAATTGTAATTTTTGCATTTTTTTTTCTAACAGTGAAGAATGTCTGCTGGTGAACGAATGTGTGACTTTTCACTGTTAAAGTTATAGTTCACCCAAAAATGTAAAATCTGTCATGATTTACTCACCTTTGTGGCGTTCCAAATTCAACCTTTTACTATTTCAGCTGTTTCAGTCTGTACAGTGGAAGTGAATGGGGTCCAAAACGTTCAAGCTCCAAAAAGGACATAAAGGAAGCATAAAAATAATCCATACAACTCCAGTAGTTTCATTCAAGTCCTCTGAAGCAATATGATCACTTTATAGCAGGGGTGGGGAACGTTGATCCTGGAGGGCCATTGTCCTGCAGAGTTTAGCTCCAACCCTAATTAAACACACCTGAAGCTAATCAAGGTCTTCAGGATTGCTAAAGTTACAGGCAGGTGAGTGTTTTTTTCAGGGTTGGAGCTAAACTCTGCAGGACAATGGCCCTCCAGGATCAATGTTCCCCACCCCTGCTTTATAGGATGAACAAGCAAAATTTAAATGGTTATTATTCACAGATCCAATCAAATCATTGATAAACTGTATAAATCAAATATGCCGACACATTAGTACCACCCAACCTTATTGGTCTTTTGGTCATGATGTTAAGGAGATTGAAAGATTTGGACATTATGGACTTGATATTAGAGCTGAAACATACTTCCAAAATCTTTTGTCTTCCACGGAGGAAAGAAAATCATACAAGCGTGGAACGGCATGATTACTTTTGGGTGAACTAACCCTTAAACATTCACTAGTCACCTCTGACCTGCATGTAGATTTTGTTCACTGTAAATATGTGTCACTGTAAATATTACATGTTCAACAAGTAATCATTGTGGTGTTTTTCATCTTTACTGTCTCTTGTTCAATGATATTGGGTGGAACCGTGAATCTGAACAGCACTGAAAGTACTCAGTGTTGTGTACGGTATCTTGACAAGCTCATTACACCCGGAGGGAAAAGTCTTGGCTAATGCTTCAGTTTGTCAACACATGCACAGTTGCAAGCGCTCGACGGAGGCATTGGAATCATTAGCAGCAGCATAAGGGCATGGCAGTGTAGTGTGGTAGCTATTACAATCATGTCTTGTTTTACAGTAGCGCTACACTGACTGACTCAGTCCCCAGGCCACAATCACTCAGCCTCAAACTCTTTCACAGTTACCGCCCGGCTTCTTTGGGAAGAATTCCGATCTTCTGTGTAAACGTTCCATCTCACACTACTTATTGTTAATTCAATTGGACTAAAGGTGCGGTTGACACTGGTTTCCAGTGCAAATTTGTTTGTTTTTTTGCTAGTCTCTTCGCTTCTTCCTTTTGTATTGCAAACGGGTAGTGCAGTGGGTCCTACAATCAATCATTTTACAAATAATCCCTTTTGACAGAATATGTCTCTTTACCCATTTTTGTTTTGCAGTAATTCCTCTTACTGTCATTTTACACTTTAGTCCACTCCCAAGATCCCGAGTCTTAAAGGGATACTCCACTTTTTTTGGAAATAGGCTCATTTTACAACTCCCCCAGAGTTAGACTGTTGAGTTTTACCGTTATTGAATCCATTCAGTCGATCTACGGTTCTAGCGGTACCACTTTTAGCATAGCTTAGCATACATCATTGAAGTGGACAAGACCATTAGCATTTCTAAAAAAAAGAGTTTCGATATTTTTCCTATTTAAAACTTGACTCTTCTGTAGTTACATCGTGCAATAAGACCGACGGAAAATGTAAAGTTGCGATTTTCTAGGCTGATATGGCTAGGAACTATACTCTCATTCCTGCGTAATAATCAAGAAACTTTACTGCCGTACCATGAGAGCAGCAGGCGTAATGATATGACGCAGCGCCTGAAAATAGTTCCGTTGTGTTGACGGAAGGTGGCCTATTTTCAGGCGCTGCGTCATATCATTACGCCTGCTGCACTCATGGTACGGCAGTGAAGTTTCTTGATTATTACGCAGGAATGAGAGTATAGTTCCTAGCCATATCAGCCTAGAAAATCGCAACTTTACATTTTCCGTCGGTCTTATTGCACGATGTAACTACAGAAGAGTCAAGTTTTAAATAGGAAAAATATCGAAACTCTTTTTTTTAGAAATGCTAATGGTCTTGTCCACTTCAATGATGTATGCTAAGCTATGCTAAAAGTGGTACCGCCAGAACCGGAGATCGGCTGAATGGATTCAATAACGGTAAAACTCAACAGTTTAACTCTGGGGGAGTTGTAAAATGAGCCTATTTCCAAAAAAAAGTGGAGTATCCCTTTAACAGTCTCTTTCATACGCTTCCCCTAACATCTGTCCCCATTCACTTTCCAAGTCATCGTGGCACTGCATACTCGGCTTCTGACTCAATGCACAAGAAGTTAACAGTTATTGTTGGCCCTGGAGAAGAATGCAAGCGTTATTGCAGTGGATTGGATAAAAGGCATGTTCCTCTGACAGTAATAACAGGGAACTTCTTCTGTGGCCCACACATATTTTAAAACATAAACTCAAATATTCGTTGATGTGCATTTTTGCAGAGGTTAACATCAGAATAGAATAAACCTTTCTTTTGCCTTGGGCTTCTGGTGGTGCTATTTTATCATTTGCAATTTTATTATTGCACAGGAGCTACTGTACGTTTACATGCACCCAAATAATCTAAAATAGTAATCGGATGTATGGCATTATCGGATTGAAAAGCCTTCATGTAAACACCCCAGTCGATCCAATTGAGCTTGATCCTAATTGAATTTCGGTTGGATTAAAAAGGGCTGGTGTAGACGTGAAATGATATATCAACCGGAAAAAAAGAGGATAAACATGCTTGGATATGACTATTTTCTCAATAAGATTAAAAAATACCTTGAGCACATGTGCAGTGATGTGATGCGTAATCCCTTTTATAATAACATCTCTGTTTACACACTTTTTACTTGTTACATGCATGTTTTTTTAGTTGTTGTTTTTTTACATCTAACAAACTTGTCAGTGGAGACTTTTTTCAGATGTCACATCTTCATTAGTACTGCAAATCTTTATGACCTGTTTACAAAAGCCAACAACATGTCATACTTACAGTACATTGTCATGCTATGAAGTGCTGTTAAAGTGTGCCTGCTCAAACATGTCAGATAATATAAACACTTAAAAGTGTTTTAAGTGAGGCTGGCATATGTCCCTGCAGACAAATAAAAGGAAAGAAATAAAAAATCAAGTTTTAAGTCTTGATCTCTTTAAAAACTCTTAAAAAAAAATAATAATATTCGGATAAAAACTTCTACTGGACGGCCAAAAGTAAATGTAATTTAGCTTCTCCTTGTATATTGTGAAAGTGAGAAAGGTTAGGTTGTAAAAACCCAGAATTAGAAAAATATATATTGTAAATAATAATACAAATAAATAATTTAATTAAATATAATTTGAAAACTGAAACAATTTCATCCAAGATGAAGCAGAACAGTGGAGAAAAATGGTAAATGTAAACTATAAATCTATGTTCATTTAGAAGTTAAAAAATAATAATAATCTATAATCATAAATGGACGACTTCACCCAAAATTTGAGTGTGCTATGTATTATTTTGTGTTTAATAGTGTATTGTGTTTAATGGCAAACTATACTGGAATCAACTAGTGTTGGAGTCAACATCAGTCACTTATGAGGTTCCATTTCAGTTTGGATGCTTCCTTGAAAGGTAGATGACTTTGTAGACAACAAGGCAGCTCAGTTTAAGAAGAGATCAAGTTCTGAGTATCAAGTGACAGATTGCATAACAGGTCTGTTTTTGTAAAAAAAAAAAAACCCTAAAAAGTCCCAAATTTATCTCTGTAGCACTCCATCATCTCAAAATTTGGAGCTGTACAAATGTGTTTTTGAAAGATTTTTCTTAGCAAAACCTTTGCCAGGTGTTTCAGAGAGAGCTGGACCAGCTTCTAAACCTGGCGTATATGTTTGGTGACCTTTTTTCTCCAACCTTCACTCATGCCAATTCTGCCAACAGACAGGAAGTACTTAGTCACTTGATGTTTACTTCAGAAATTTCAGACTCTCTACACCCAAGGGGTCTCACGCTTGTAACTTTTTGATGTTCATCTTTTGATTTTTGACTGTAGTAGTCAAGAAAGTAAAAGGAAAAATGTTGTTTTCAGTTCAGTCTCTCTTGATCCTCAAATCAAAGGACATTCAGCAAATATTACATCACTGAGCAGCAGAGGGGAAACTCATATAAAGTTTGTAGCTACTGTGATTTTTCAACTTTAACTGCCTGACTGTTTTATTATTTTATTTTGGTGGTTCAAATATAAAAGACATTTGACAGAATAAGCAAGCAACTGTTATTACATTTATGAGTCCAACTGAAGCATATTTGTTACTTTTTTATTGTTTTGTAGGTGGGTGCAGTCAAAATATTGGTTGGAGGTTCTGTATTCCATGAAGAAATAATATTCTAAGAAGGATACGATAGAAGTCAATGTAACAATAGAAAGATAAGAATTACGCTGGCAAAGCAGGGACTGTATGAGTAGAACAATAATTTAGAACCGGCACATAAATGATGATTCGAAACGAAATTTTGGGGGCGATGCCCAACCAGCGTTTGTGGAGTTTGGATTTGATCATTCCTTTTGTAACTACATGGTGGTGAGGGTGGGGTTTTCAGTTATCAGAAAGCAGGGAATATGGTAGATTAGATTTGAGATTCACATATGTTTCCTCACAATGTTTGAGCAATGGCAGCTTTATAGTTTCTGAAGTAGCCAAGTAATGAAAAGTAATGACAACAGAGAGATATGTTGGACTGGGAGTCATATATAACTTTTAGTTCACTCTCAATTTTCAGAAAAAAAGAAAAAAAAAACATGTTCTAAGATCATCATGAAACTCTGGATACTCTGTTGTATTATAGCAAATACTTGAATCATTTCCTGAATATTGGCAGTGAAATAAAAACATTATACATTCCTATAACACTGATGGATTCAACCACAAATATAGCCGGATTCAACCATACAAGATTTTGTGTTAGTCAGAACTAGTGATCTGTAACTGTGTAACTGTGGTCATATCTTATATGATTTCAACACAAGCATCGCAAACAAGTTTTATATTGTGTTTAGCTAAACAACCGGAGACATTGGAGCCATACTGAAAAACCAAATTGTATTCAGACTAGTTATTTTCTGCCCCGTCTTTAAGTGAGGGGGCGATTTTCACAACTGTAATTTTCAGAACGATGATTAGAGTTTCGAGTGCAAGTTTGAAAATGAAAGATCTCACAAAGCCGCGACA